CTTGCCTTACTGAACCTATAGCACCCCTCCTATTGTGTGTGTGTGTATGTGTGTGTGTGTGTAAAATCTTAAATCTCACACATATATATGAATACAATACTAATATATATATCAAGATTTAATCTTAAAATATTTTTACTATCTGTGTGTGTGTGTGTGTGTGTGTGTGTGTGTGTGTGTGTGTGTGTGTATACAGGAAGTCAGGGCCCATATGTGCAGAGGCCAAGGGACAGTTCTGTCCTTCTACCATGTGGGTTCTGGGACCTGAAGTCAGCCGACTGGGCTTGGTGGTAGTGCTTTTATCCATGGGGTAGGCCATTGCAGACCTGACCCCCATTTTCCTTTCCTTTTTCTCTCTTAAGACAGGGTCTCATTATGTGGCCTTGGCCAGCCTGGGACTCACAGAACTCTGCCCGCCTCGGCCTCCTCAGATAGGATTAACGGTATGTGTCGTCACTGGCCAGCTTAGAGATTTACTTTTACTAATTTAACTTTTGGACCTATAAAGATGTCTCAGTGTTGGAGTGCTTTCTGCTTTTCCAGAGGACCGAGTTCGATTCCCAGCACCTATGTTTCTACTCACAACTGCTTATAACTCCAGCTTCAGGGGATCCAACATGCTCTCCTGGCCTTCTCAGGTGCTGTGCTCACCTGTACAAACCCATACATAGACGCGTTCATATACACATAATTAAAAAGTAAAGTATTTTAAAACCATATGTTTGTGGATGTGTGTGTAACCAAGTGTAGGAACCCATGGAGGCCAGAAGAGGGCGTTAGATCTCCTGGAGCTGGAGTTACAGGTGGTGGCTGGCACCAGACACTGGTGGCTGGGAACAGAGCCCTGGTTTTTAGAAGACCAACAGGCATGTTTAACCCCTGAGCCATTTCTCCACACTCCCTTCCCCCTTTTCCTTTTGTGACACAGTCAGGCCATCCTCAAATTTAGGGAGCCTCCCTTTCCCAGCCTCCGTAGAGCTAACATTTCAGGCCTGAGCTATCAAGGCTAGTAGCTTCCTTTCAAAGCTGGAAGGTTTTGAGGGGAGACAGGGGGCAAGCACATGGCACTGGGTTTCATATTTTCAGACATTTGCCTTTCTCTGTCAGAGCACATTTTAAAATCCTATGATTGCGTTGACTTTCCTTGTTTGTGTTTCTGTATTCGCTGGGCTTTCGGCCCAAAGTGACTAGCATGCCTTTGTTCTCACTAGATTAAGCCTCGATAGATAATCTGGTTTAGTTATGGCTGCATTGTTTAAATCTCGCTAATTACAGTGCAATGCTATGCAGTGCCAGTGGGGGGACAATTTAAATGCTCACTGGAAGAAGGGAGAAGATAGAGCAAGCTAAGAAATGTACAGTTTCTCAAATCTGTCCCCCAGGGCCAATTTAAAGTTTGCCTTGCCAAGCTGTTTACATTGAAAGTCTTAAACAACACCAGGCGTGTTTCCAAGCAGGCAGGCGCTTGGAGGAAATTAGAAGATTGGGGGGCTGATCCTGAGCTTCCCAAAATGCTTTCTGCTCCAGGTCACTCAGGAGGGAAGGATCAGGGAGTGGCCAGGCCCGTCCACAGCTTCTGAGATGAAAGGCAGACAAGGAGAGGGTCTGGAAAGAGGTGGGGAGGGGCGGAGGGGGGAGTGGGGGGGGTGTGGGGTTCAGCTGTGCAAACACAAGGACCTGAGTTCAGATCCCCGGCACCCATGTAGGAAGCTGGGGATTCATTGTGCGCCGGCAACCCCGGAGCTGGGGGAGGTGGAAATGATGGGGTGACTGAGGCTCACCGGCCTGCTACTCTAGCATAGTTGGGTGAACTTAAGGTACAGTGAGAGGTCTTGTCTCAAAATATGGAGAGTTACAGAGGAAGAGACCTGGCATTGACCTCTGTCTCCCCTACAACAAACAAACAAACAAACAAACAAACAAACAAACAAACCAAACAAGAGGTGGAGGAATGAAGACACTGGGACAGGCCACAGAACCAAGACTCAGGAATAAATCAGCATTTAAGGAGGCGCCTTGTGAAGTGCCCTGTTTTCTCTGGGATTAGAATAGAAGGGAAAATAGGGGCTCGATAAAGCAGTGTTTACCTACACTACTTCTTTTGGCTTTCTAGGGGTAGGCTCTTAACCTCCTGTTGTCCTCCACTTTGTGATTTATTTGGGGAATTCCCGAGGCAGGGTAGAGGGCACATCTAGGGCTTGGCATGGGGAACTGAGCAAACCAAAAGTACATTGGGGTGTATTTAGCAGTGGGCACTTTGTAGCACCAAGAAATAAGACCGAGAACAACTGAAGAGAAACGCAAAGTGCTGTTCTGGAATGAAAATCCTGGAACGCTAAGCCTAAGGTGGGACGGGTTGTCTAGGAGCATAGATTTCTGGGTTTTGTTTTCTATTTTTTTCTATATATCATACATCATGTGGGTAAGTGGCTTTACTAGGTGGCAGGCAAAGGCAGTGGCACTTCAGGAGGAAGGAAAGAGATGACAGGAGCGTCACACAGCCAGTGCCAAGGTCGACTTGCTCACTTAACAAGTTGAAACAGTAATGCAGAACTTTTTTTTTTTTTAATGGGAGCGTGGGGAGAGTTGACTTTAGCTTGTCCCCGTGTTTCCAGGAATTGTCCAGGATTCTAGGCTCCGGGGGTGTCAGCAGGAGGAGGCCTCTGAGAGGCAAGATTCTGCTGCTTAGTTGTTGGGCTGACCTGCTCCATGGCGCAAATCCTGGACAAACGAGTTAAACCTTTTGCACCTCTGTTGTCTAGGCTGTGAAATGTATTTAATAACAATTCAGTCTGGCTGGCTCTTGTAGGGACTGAATTCAACAAGGCTGGTTGAGCAATGGCTACACATAGCTTAAGGCCAGAGAAGTCTAATGACTTGCCTCCTGTGCATAAGAACCTTGACTTAATCCCCAGCACTGTATACACATGCGTGTGCGCATGGACGCATGCGCAAACACACACGTGCACACATACAATGACCTGGTATGATCTCAATGCATTTTTAATTATTCCTAGTGGAACATGCTGGCACATGTCTGCAATCCCAGTGTTTGAGGGCTGAAGACAGGAGGATCAGAAGTTCAAGGTCATCCCCATTTTAGGCCTGTCTGGTCTACATAAAATCTGACCCTCCAAAAACATAAAATTATTTTGGAATCTTCTATTTTGATTAGTTGACTTTTTCTCTTTTCTTTCTCTCATTTCTTTTTGTTTTTTGAGACAGGATTTCTCTGTAGCTTTGGAGTCTGTCCTGGAACTAACTCTTGTAGACCAGGCTGGCCTCGAACTCATGAACTTACAGAAATCCAACTGCCTCTGCCTCTCAAGTGCTGGGATTAAAGGCGTGTGCCACCACCACCACCAGGCTATTAGTTGACTTTCGCATGCATGCTTGTCAGTAGCCAGACATGGAATTACTTTCTCGTAAATTCGTGCACGTGGGAGAAGTTCCAGTGCTCCAGAAAACAGGGTATTTGGAAGTTGGACTTAATTCCTGTGTGGTGTGTATGTGTGTGTGTGTGTGTGTGTGTGTGTGTGTGTGTGTGTATGTGTGTGTGTGTGTATAGTTCGGAGAACCAGTGCTGGGAGGCTGTTCTCTCCTTCCACTGTGTGGGACCAGCAACCAAACTCAGTAAGACTTGTCTGCAAAGCTTTGAACTTGCTGAGCCACCCCGCTAGTTTCCACCTTATTTTCCAAGACAGGGTCTCTCACAGAACCTGGAGTTTACCAACTGGGCTAGACCGGCTGGCTAGAGAGCGCCAGAGTCTTCTGGTTTTGTCCACCCACCTCTGGATTACAGGTGTTCAACATCAAGCACAGCTGGGGATCGAACTCAGATCCCTTTGCTAGCACAGGGAACATTTATCAACCAAGTCATTGCCCCAGCCCCAGGCTACCTAGCTTAAAAATTTATTCTTATTATCATTCTTATTATTACTATTATTATTTTATGTGTATTGGTATCTTGCTTGAACATATATCCGAGTCTGTGCACCATGTGTGCCTGGTGCCTGCAGTGGTCAGAAACGGGTTTCATATCCCCTTGCACTGAAGTTACCAATGATTGTGAGCTGCTGTTGTAGGTGCTGGGAGTTGAACCCGGGTCCTTTACAAGAGCGAGTGCTCTTAACCGCTGAGCCATTCTCCAGCCTTGGTCTCCTGATCTGATGCAAGTTATTATGCAACTCAGGCTGGTCTCTGAGTTGATGGTGATGACCCTAGTGGGTGGAGCCTACTTTAGACACAGGCGCACCGTCACGGCTGTCTGATGGATGTGCTCGTGGACTCGGTAGGAAAGCAGTGGTTATGTAACCACCAAGGTCAGTGCTGTCACCCAGCTCCTCCCGTGGCTGGTCTTGAACTTCCCATGTCGTGCACGGTGACCTTAAACTTCTGGTCATCCCAGGTAGGAAGAAAAGGGAGGCTGGTGAGCCGGTGAGCCGGTAAGATGGCTCAGCAGTTAAGAATAAGTATTTCCTTTCCCTGGGTCTGAGTTCAGTTCCAAACACCACAGAGAGAGGCTCACAACCTGTAACTCCCGGGGACCTGATGCCCTCTTCTGGCTTCCAAGGGCAATGTCTTCTCACGCATATATATATGCATACAGACATAGAAATTAAAAGGAAAAAAAAAACTTAAAATAAAAGAAGCAAGGGCTCAGATAAAATCCCAGGATTCAGAAAGCTGAGATAGGAGACTCACTATGAATTTGAGGCTAGGCTACCTGCTGGCCCTTCTTTTTTCTTTTTCTTCTTCCTCTTCCTCCTCCTCCTCTTTCTTTTTTTTTTCTTTTTTTTTTTTTATTGGGAGGGGTTTTCCGGCAATGGCCAGAAAACCTTCCAGACACATTCTAAAAGAACTATGACACTTCTTCTTTTTTTTTTTTTTTTTTTTTTCCAAGTTGGCCCGGAACCCCGAAAAACCCCCTGCCTCTGCCTCCCAAGTGCGGGAATAAAGGCGTGCACCACCACTGCCCAGCTGTTTGTTTTCACTTTTAGGGATGGCTCAGAGCACTTAACAGAGCACTGGCTGATCGTCAGGAGGTCCTGAGTTCAATTCCCAGCAACCACATGGTGGCCCACAACCATGTGTAATGAGGTCTGGTGCCCTCTTCTGGCCTGCATGCATACAGCAAGGAGGCTGAACACTGTGTACACAATAAATAAATAAATCTTTTTTAAAAAGTATCATGGAGTATATGTTTTTGTGTGTGGAATGCTGGAGAGGGCTGGTCAGGGACGTTCTAGATAAAACCCTGATTGTTGTAAAAATGAACGGAGACTTGAGGGATAACTTGGTGCTTCCCTGTTTGTGGTGTGGAAAAGAGGAGCCCAGTGGTGCTGGAGGGCGTTGTACCTGCTTCGTCTAGTCCAGCCTGGTGCTAGCAGGACTCTCGTGGTTCTCAGCTCTTCCTGAAGAACAGAGCCAGGCAAACTTATCCTTCTCTCCTCCGCCCACCCTTTCACCTCCCAGCTCCCCACCCCCTACCTCCCACTCTCCCAGCCCCCACCCCCTACCTCCCACCTTCCCATCTTCCCACCCTTCCACACTCCCATGCTGGCTCCAGGGCCCCCAGCAGTACAGGGTAAGCGCTCTATGGAGGCTCCAGATAGCTTCTCTGCTAAAATGTTTCCTTTAGTGTAAGACTTTTGCTCCTTCTATCCCTCCCTCCCCTCTCCCTATTTATTTATTTATTTATTATGTACACAATATTCTGTCTGTATGCCTGCAGGTATCCCTCCCTCCCCTCTCCCTATTTATTTATTTATTTATTATGTACACAATATTCTGTCTGTATGCCTGCAGGCCAGAAGAGGGCACTAGATACCATTACAGACGGTTGTGAGCGACCATGTGGTTGCTGGGAATTGAACTCAAGACCTTTGGAAGGGCAGGCAATGCTCTTAACCTCTGAGCCATCTCTCCAGCCCCTCCTTCTCCCTTTTTTGCTTTGTTTAGTTGTTCTGTTTTGAGTCAGAGTCTGTGTTTGCAGCACTGGCTACCCTGGATCTCTGTACATCGACCAGGAGGTCCTCAAACTCAAACAGATCCACCTGTCTCTGCTGGGATTAAAGGCATGCACCGTTCACCCCTAGTTGTATGTGTGGGTTTTTTTGTTTCATTTTGTTTTGCGTTTGTCATTAAAAACAAAAGAAACCTGGGGGTGGTGTCCCACACCTTTAATCCCAGCGCTGGGGGGTCGGGGGCAGAGGCAGGCAGATCTCTGTGAGCTCCAGGTCAGCTTGGTCTACAAATCGAGTTCCAGCATAACCAGAGCTGTTACACAGAGAAACTCTGTTTCGAAAAAGCCCAAAACAGAACAAAATAACACATACCAAACCCAAAAAAGAAAAAGAAAAACGAACAACAACACCCCCTCCCCCAACAAAAGCCAAAACAAAAAGCATTTATTTATGTTTTCATGTTCCTGTGGTGGTGGTTTGGGGTATAGGATCTTTTCCTCCCAGTGACTTTGACAGAAACAGTGCTTCAGTGTGGCTCTAGCCTGTCTCTTTGGCCAGCCAAAGTACCCGAGACAGGATGCTAAGGTGGCATTTTGGCTCTGCTTCCTATAGTGGGCGAGCTTCCTATAGTTGGCTCTGCTTTCTGTCTCTCTGAATGGAGTCGCTCCTCTCTGCTTCTGTCTACCATGAGGTGAAAAATCTCCTCTCCTGTGTGCTCACATGCCCATGTTCGTCCTTCCTTCCTTCCTTTCTTCCTTCCTTCCTTCCTTCCTTCCTTCCTTCCTTCCTTCCTCTTTCTTTCTTTCTTTTTTCTTTCTTTTTTTCTTGTTTTTTGAGACAGGGTTTCTCTGTAGCTTTGGAACCTGTCCTAGACTAGATTGGCCTCAAACTCACAGAGATCCGCCTGTCTCTGCCTCTCGAGTGCCGGGATTAAAGGAGCGCACCACCACTGCCCAACCCGACTAGAGATTTTTAAATTGGGAAGGAGGGTTTCCTAGAAAGATGAAGCCAGTGATAACTGCGATGGATAGCCTGCGAGGTAGATGGTCCACTGGGTAACCGCACTCGCCACACAAATCTGATTCTCACGGTAGCATGAGAGAACCAGTTTCCGAAGGCCATCTGACTGCTGCGGGTGATGTGCCTGCATGCGTGCACATGTTTTAAGAGTTTTGCTTGTTTGTTTATTTGTTTGTTTTTTTAGACAGAATCTCTTTATGAAGCCCTGGCTGTCCTGGAACTCACTCTGTAGACCAGACTGACCGCAGACTCACAGAGATCCACCAGCCTTTACCTCCTGAGTGCCGGGAGGTGTGTGTTCCCACCCCTGCAGAGGTAATTAAAAACAAACAAGCAGACTTGAACTTGCTGAGGGTATCTGATGCTAAGTGCTGAGATTTGGGAGTAAACTAACCGTGAGGCTGAGGAGACTGTTTTGAAAATTAAGTTCTGGCAGAAGAAAAATCCTGTGCTGATGTAAGTCAAGACTAAACCGTTACTGACATTTGCATCTTCATGCAACCAAACAAAGCCTTATATGTAGATTAACAAAACTAAGTTAGATTTAAAAAAAAAAAGAAAAAAAAAGAAAAAAAAAAAGAGGGACTGGAGAGACAGCTTAGCAGCCCCCTTTGTCTGCCATCTTACCAAGGCCTGTAACTCCAGAGGATCGGATGCCCTCTTCTGGCCTCTGAGGGCACCCTCCTACATGTGTGCAAGCATACACAGATACACACATTTGCTTAATTAAAATAATAATAATAATAAGAAGAAAGGGTGCTACAGTGAGACTCTGACTCAACCAGCCTAATAAAAAGGGTAACCAGAGAACAGGCGGAGTATGGGTAAGAGTTCTGTAAGGAGGGGATCTGGGGCAAGAGTTCTGTAAGGAGGAGATCTGGGGCTTCAGTTGCTCCTGGAAGCCACACTGTAACCACCTGGTTCCGGTTGGTTTGGGACTTCCCTGCTTTTAGCACTGAAATTCCCATGGCTTAGGGAAACCCCCAAGTATTCAGCAGACTGGAATTGTTGACCACCTTACCAGGTTACCCTGAATGATTGATTGGGAATCCCAGAAGATTCTGAGATTCTAATTTTTTTTTAAACAGAGGCTCATGTTGCTCAGACTGGTCTCAAAGTTGATAGATAGCTAGAATGAGTCTGACCTCTCTCTCTCTCTCTCTCTCTCTCTCTCTCTCTCTCTCTCTCTCTCCAGGGTTTCTCTGTGTGATAGCTCTAGCTGCCCTGGAACTCACTGTGTAGACCAGACTGCCTTCCGAGTTCTGGGACAAAGGCATGTGCCACCCCCACCCCCAGCCTTGATCCTATGCCTCCACCACCCAAGATATAGATGTACACCACCAAGTCTGATTTCTGTGTTTAATTTTCCCCCTAAACTTAAACAAAGTGATATATTTTGTATTTTATGTATATGAGTGTTCAGTGTTCTGTATGTATTTGTATCACAGGTGTGCACAGTGTCTTTGGGGATCAGAAACAGTCACCATATATCCTGGAACTGGAGTTATGGGTGGTTGTGAGTTCTTTTGGCATGCATGTGAGTGTGCACATGTGTGTGTGAGAGAGTGATGCAGGCGTGCCGCAGAGAATGTGTCTAAGCCAGAGACAACAAGGTGGAGTCAGTTTTCTCCTTCCTTTGCATGGGTTCAAGGATTGAACTCAGTTTGTCCTGTTTTGCAGCAAGCACTTGTTTCTGCTGAGTCGGCTTGACAGCCCCATGATTTACATTTGTGTATTTGTTTGTCTGTTTGTGTCGCATGTGCATCCCCCTAGCCTTGAACTTGGAGTTGAGTGTGACTTTGAACTCCCGATCCTCTTGCTTCTACCTATGTTGAGATTACAGGCATGCTCTGCCATGTCCAGCTCTTCAAACAGCATATTTAAACCTCCTCGCTTGGTACTCATGCCAAAACCAGTTCCTTTTCCGGGTGTAGTTCTATTTAGAGACTGGAGGATACACAAGAGTAACTGCCCGCAGTCTCACGCTCATCGGAGTCAGGCAAACTGTTCTTTCCTGAAGGGCGTGTTTACTTGGGTTTTCAAATTCCTGGCCAGATCCTAATTAGAGACTCAGTTTCCCTCTTGTTATCAGTAGGTAGGGGCCAACATTAAATAGTCTTTTGTTTTAGGACACACTTCATGACTTTTCTAAGATTACAGCTCAGTCTCTCAAGTGTAATCAATGGGGGGGGGGATAACATTTTTTAGAATACTCCAAATATTTCATGAGTCTTAAATATTCTAGTTCCAGATGGGATAACACGAGCTTCAATTCCAGGAGCCAAACCCTGCTGTTGTAGAATGTACAACTTCCTGTCAAAGAAGGAACCGCGCCCTGCCTGCCTGCCTGCCTGCCTTTGCTGGCTGTGTGTTCTTGAGCCGGAGGCCACTTTCTTTGCCTTCTGAGAAATGGTCTGTGTGTTTCCTCTAAGCCGCTCCGTCGTGGGAGACTGGCTTTCACGGAATCGGCATTCTGCCGCAGGAACGTGCTCCCTCACACTGACTCCTTTTCTGGGTGAGAGTCCTGATCACAGAGTTCCCTTCTGGGAAGACAGGCTGCCCCTTACAAATTCCCCAGCCTAAACAGACGGTGGCGGTAACTGTCATTTGGAATGACCTATAGGTGTGTTCTTCTACCGAGTACCATAAATGACAGCCACGTCACTTCTGACCACAAAGGTGCAGTTCACAAGAACAGAAAGTGACTGTTTTGGGGACATTAGGGGCAGGCATGAACTTTTGACAAAGCTTTAGCCTGGGACGGGAGGAGGGGGTTGGGAAGCCCATTCAGGGGTGCAGAAGGGGAGCCTCCAATTGTGTGTGCCAATTTTAACATAGGAAATATTTTGTATTTTACCTTTAATACTGTGTTTTATCATTTTCATACAGCTGCACACTGTATTTTGGCCATATTTTACCCCGATACTTTCTCTTGTCCCCGCCCACTCCCCATGACCCCCTTTCTCTCTCAGCCTGTCTTCCCCTACTCTCCTGTTTTTTGTTTTCTTAGGACTCAGTTACTTACGTGAGCGTGAATGAGGGTTATTACAGGACATT